TAGTAGTAGTAGTAGTAGTAGTAGTAGTAGTAGTAGTAGTAGTAGTAGTAGTATCGTTATCATTATTGTTGTTGTTGTCTTTATTGTGGGCTAGTGGTTAGGCTACCGGACTCGTAATCGTGAGGTTGAGGGTTCGGGGGTTCGAGTCTCAGGCCTGATGTTGTGTCTTTGAGAACAGTACTTCACACAAATGTTTCTCACTACACCCGAGTGAAACTGGATACTCATCCATAGACAGTAATAGGTTTTTTCAGTATGTTAGCCTTTTAGCGCCTATAAAAAGATGGTAGCTTGCGCTGTATGCTTCCCAGTAAGTTGAGATTGTTTCAGAATGTTATCAGGTCTGCTGGTGGTAATGATATGGATTGCAAAGCGCACGGAGCTTGCTGTTGAGCGGGAATTTGTGTTATATAAATGCTATCTATTATTATTTTCAATTAGCTATTTTCTGGGGGGATTGGGGGATAAAATACAAACTCCAGACAAAGTGCTAACCAAAGAAATGCCATGCCCATGTGGGAAATCTTCTATTGTAAATTCTCAACCGGGTACTTTTTTCAATTCATTCGTTTTTTGGTTATTATTCGGTGGGAGGGGGCGTTGGTTGGGGGGGGGGGCGGCTGTTAGAGCCGCACATTTTTCGAAAAATTTGTCAGAGCCGCGCACTTATTAGTGATATCCATATATTTGATAAACGATTAACAGTACCAATACTGTGTGTGGTTTTCTCGGCGTTCATCTTGGCCCAAGTCTTGATAGATAGATAGATAGATAGATAGATAGATAGATAGATAGATAGATAGATAGATTAGTCCTTCATTCAGTTTCAGTAACGCTAGTTGATGTGAGAGATTGTCTTTCTGTCGACCCCGAATGGAAGGCTTTTTTTTTTTTGCTGATGAGTACAAAAACATTCTGCCATAGCGTCAGTCATAGTGCTTGAGACTGGAATTATACTATTCTCACTCGCATTTTTTTCTGTCGTCGTGTTCTTACTCACTATAGATTCTATCTGAGTAATTTTCGTGTTTGTTTTCATTTCTTTATTTATTGTGTTTTTTTCGTGGGAGGAGTTGTTTTGTCTTATTTGTTTGTTATGTATTTTTCCCTCTTGGGGCTCAATCTGTGGGGAAAAAACCCAACGAACTTTGCAATGTCAATAAAAGGCGTAAAAATGTCGCAGTTTTGAAAAGTAGTTTTGTATAATTTGCATGACTCGAACACCCGTTACTTCGTTTGTAAATTACAATGGAAATAGTAGGGAACATTTTGATTCGGAGAATGTAACTTTTGAATGGTAGGCTATTGGCAATCAAAATGTATCGATATCTTTAAAAATTGCGAGGCTCTGATAGTGCACGGTTTTGACTCCCCCCCCCCCCCATAAAAAAACTGCACTTCTCTGATGCTTTTTCGATTCTTTACACGGTTATATTGCAGCACTTGGCAGTTTTAGCAACCAGTATAATAATATGGTAATAATAATAATAATAATAATAATAATAATAATAATAATAATAATAATAATAATAATAATAGCGCATAACCCCGCTCAACAGCTAGCTCTAAGCGCTTTACACTATATTATTACTCCAGCAAACCATTTAACACTCAGAAACATTATCAGCTTTCCGGGAAGCGTACAGTGCAAGCAGCTGATTAAGAGCTTAAACACTTTCAAACTGACGAGAACTTTTACTGTCAAAAGCTGGGTACCCATTCTCACCTGGGTGAAGTGAGGAAAATTCGTGTAAAGTGCCTTTCCCAAGGACACAACGTCGGGTCCCTGACGGAATTATATAATGCACTGTATTTTATTATTCATGTTTTAAGTACGTATCTTTATCGACTTAAAAAAATGTGGGCCTACATTTTTTTTCTCACCAGTTTAGGTTAAAGTATTAACCCTTTTTTTCTTCTTTTTTTTCAGAAGTAAACTGGTATCGTCTGGCTTTGCTAGCAACCAGAGACGAGCAATCGCTTCTACGTGTATCTGATACCATTCAAAAACCAAATCTTATATTGGAGGAAAAAATGGAAGGGCGAATGAAAGGTGGGTACGATGGTTAAACCTAACTGTTCAGTGCCCTCTTTTTTTTTTTTCTTCTTTTTTTTGGTAAGTGTTTTTACGGCACTCGCAATTGCATAAGATCAGTGTCCGTCTTGAGATATACTGTAAAGATTATCTTTTTGATTGTTTGTTTAAACTTGTTTGACTCGTGTCTAGTTATATAGGTAGGTGAGGATGTATAAATGACCAGAATCTGCAAAAAATCGAATCAAATGACACATGACTAAGAGAAAAAAAAAGAGAGAGAGAGAGAGAGAGAGAGAGAGAGAGAGAGAGAGAGAGAGAGAGAGAGAGAGAGAGAGAGAGAGAGACAGACAGACAGACAGACAGACAGAGAGAGACAGAGAGAGACAGAGACAAAGAGAGAGAGACCGGGAAAGGGTTAGGTGGGGGGGGGGTAGATTGAAAGTGGAATTAATAGACAGAGAGATAGGATGGGGCCCCCGAATAGTTTAAAAAAATATAATTTAAACTGGCAACAGAGAGGTTAAATTGAACGACACCTTCCAGATTGTTCTAAATGATGTCATCGTTTCAATTTTTCGTTGGCCTAACTGACAAAGTTTGTGTCGAAATATCTTCCTATTGCATTAACTATTATTCAAGATCTTCGTCTCCTCCATGTTGTCTGACCTACTGTCTGTCTTTTTCCAACCAGAAGAGTCGAAGAAAAGGATGAGAGACCCGAAGATGAAGAAGTTGTTCACCTCTCTCTTCGGAGACGACAGCGAGCCTGATGAAGACCAGGATGAGACAACTCTCACTCCGGTAACATCTGGGAGTAATGAAAAGTCGTATGACCCCATCGTGTCCACTCGTCTCAAAGACAACAAACTCGATACTTCTGAGGTTCAGGTCAAATTTGGGGACAAGAAACATGGTCATCGGAGGTCACAGAGTTCAGGCTCC